CAGAGCAGCCTAGGCTGCCTAACAAAGTACTGCTGAGTTAACTGATGGAAATGGATTGTTTCCCTGCTCCTGGAGACTAGAAGCTGAGATCAAGGTGTAGGCTGGGCTGGCTCCTCAGAGGCTGTGAGGAAGGGTCCCATTGTAGGCCTCTCTCCTTGGCTTATAGGCATTGTCTTCACCTTGTATCTTTCTATTATCTCTCTTCTGTCTCTATCCACAGGCTTTTGTTTTATTTGGTTGAAGGTCTGTTAGATTAGGTGCTGGCCCTGGTGAGCTCATTTTAATTAAATTGAATGTTTAAAGACCCTGTCTCCCCTAAACGGTCAACTCTAGTTAAGAGGGCTTTCAACATTGGCATGTGGGTTTCTAGGAGGCGTAACTCAACCCATAACAGATGAGATAGCCAAGTTAAAGTGAGTAGAGTCTGTAAGGCAGGGCCCTAGGAATCCTTTTATTTGCTAGCCATACTGTCAACAGAACTTTGAGGAAGTAAGTGATAGATATACCATTTTTAATATAAAAATGTAGTGAAATTGGCATCTGGCCAAATAAATGACAAACCTCCACATAGGGGTGGATGGGCCTGAGCCATTACAGCCCAGTAGGCTGGTGCCAAGAGTCACCCTGGGACTCCTGCCAGCATTGTGCCTCATGGGGAAATTCATGGTGGTGTCCAAACACCTCCAGTCACTGCCAGTAACGTCTGTGTTGGTGTGGTAACCCTTTCTCAACTGGGAAGGTTACAGCCAGCAGGTGAGCTCTCTTGAGTTTTGATAAGGGCCTAAGAGCTACATTGCAAAGTGAAGAGAAGACCTTTTGTTTTGCAAGTCTCATGAGAAGCTGGTCCTCCCTGCTTACGGTTCATAGGAGAACCTTAGAAAACTCCCACACCTTGGACAAGGTCAGAGATGTTTAGGGGACCAAAAGGTTTCAGAATTCAGTGTATGTCATCTTTCTCCCAAATCCACTTCACATACTCTGCTGCTTCTTAGGTGGTGTGAATATATACTAGGCCAGCCCAGATGTCTTATATGTGACTGTTTTTTGTTCTTTTGTTGTTGTTGTTGTTGTTTGTTTTTTGTTTTGTTTTGTTTTGTTTTGTTTTTTGCCTGTACATCTTCCAAGCCTTGAGGCTGGGGAAGAAGAAAGAAAAGAAAGGAACTCCCCAAATAAGGTCTTTTCATTTCCTTTGCTAACTGACCACATTGACATTTTCCTTTACCAAAACAAAAGTTACTATGACTCTCAAACCTTTGTCAAACCCCTTCTGAATAGTTTTATTTTCGCTCATGTGGATTCATTTGTCCATCTTTCAATGTACAGATTACACCATGTTGATGTTGTGGTGACTGAACAAGATCCAGTCGCTATCTAAGGGGAACATGGGTATTGATTCGCTGGCACAGTCTGGTTCACCTCTGCCACTGGGGGCTTTGTTTCATGAGGATCTGTCCAGAAGCAAGATCCTCTGCTTTTATGGGGAGTTGGCTTCCTGAAGAGGAGGTCCATGATCTGTAAGCCTCCCTGTTGACCACAGCTTCAGAAAGGCTGCCAGATGAGCTGTGCCACCATACTTCAAAGATATCACGTGGTGTCTCATGGTAGAGTCCCAGCAGTGCTGTGGATAAGATTTCTGAGGCTTTTAAAAGCCCAAACACGCTAGGGAACACCAGTCTTGAGCAACAGCTTATATCCAACATACCTCCCCTGAGGTGTATTATTGTGAGGTCTCCACATTATCTCATGGGGAAATTTTATGTGGAGATTATTGTAATTTATTACAATTTCCACGGCATCTGCTCGGTTGTTCTCCAAGTGGGCTGAGAGACAATAGCTGTGCACCTCTCCTGAGACTAGAAACAGACTACCAAGTACCATTCAAGCAAGAGTGGCCCCTGAGAGTAGATGTTTAGAGGGATGGGGGTTAGAACAGACTAACTCAAGGCTGAAATGAGCTGTTGGCAAGATATTGCCTGAGTGGGCATGATAGCTCTTAGCTAGCTGGGAGGCTGAAGAAGGATTCTTTAAGTTCAGGAGCTTGGGCATCCTGACAGTATCATAGGACCTCATGTGTTAAATAAAAAAGAAAGAACAGAAGCTATCCAACTCATTTTAGCCATTGCTGCTAAGAGTGATGCCAATCGTCACTTGTAATGGCAACTGCGGATGGTTTTCTTAAGAAATCTTTATTTTTTTGTTTTGTTTTGGAAGCTTCTTCCCAAAAATCCCAGAGATCCATGTTTGGTGATAGCTCCTGTTAGCAGCAAAACCAGACAATGAGCTTCATCTCTAGGCTGTATTCTTTAGCATCTTCTTTCAAAATGGCTTCAGGTTGGGCTGGGGAGATGGCCCAGACAGTGTTTGCCATGCAAGCATGAGGACCTGAGCCTGAGCCCCAGCACCTGCACCAAAAGTGGGCGTGGCGATGACCGCTGGTGGTCCTAGTGCTGGCAAGATAGAGACAAATGGACACCTGGGGCTTGCTTACCAGCCATCCTAGCCAAATTAGCAAAGTCCAGGTCCCAATAGACACTTGAGATTGACCTCTGACCTCCATCTACACACAGCTATGACAGCACACACATAAACAGGTACCCACACCAATACATTACACAGACACACACAGTGTTTTACAGAGAGTATGTCCTTACCTAGTCTGGAGAGGCACAGACATTGGAGTGGGGTATCCTCTGGCCCCTGAGTTCTTCCCCAAGTTTCAGCCAACCATCTTAGCAGAGTAACCATAGCTGCACAAACTTTCCAGCTCACCATTGGGGGAAGTGTCTCACGATTGTGATTTTTGACCTGAAAAAAAAAAATGCTCCCTGGAAGTTTCCCTTAAGGCAGCCGCTGTCACCCTCTTGTGTGACTCCCTAAGTCGCAGTTTTGTGTGATCCTTTACCGGCAGGAACACAGGCTTTGCTCTAAGCTGTTTTGTTTTTTGTTTTGTTTTTTTTTTTTGTCTTTGTTTTTTTATTTTTTTTAAGCTGTTTTATTCTCCCTTGTGGAATAAACTATCATAAATGCTCCTTTCTGGTGAGGGGTGATCATTTCAGCTAGGAACCTTTAAGATGTGACTTGACCCACAGAAAAGATTGAATGGAGATCATGCAGGCCACGCAGGAAACTGAGCCAGAGCTTCTACCAAATCCCATCATGAGCATCCAGCCCCAGTCACATCCGATTACATCTGAACACACACATATTTATCAAGATCTTCTTATGGCCTTTATCATACAGCTGTTTCTGAAACCAAATAAGATGTGACACTCCGTGTCAAGCCAAATGCTGGATAATGCTGCTATTTGACAGGCCTTTGAGCTTTGAGCAATAAACCACAATCCTCGCATCCTCACCCCAACTGCAGGAGCCTATGGAGGCTTGGCCACAGGCAGCCTTCTGTTTCCTTTTCACACCTCCACTAAAAGCACAGTCCTCGTGGGTCTCTCGCTCTTGCTCTCTCGCTTTGACTCTTGTTCTTGCTCTACAATGTACCTCTCTAAAAGGGAAATGGGGGCCAGCTCGCTTCTAGTGCCTGGTTCAGGTAGGGAGGGATTTTTAGAGGAAAGAGAAGCTCCTACACTGATCTGAGAGTCGCTGTTTATTCTGCACTGTGTGTTGCAGATGAGTGTTTTGAAGACCAGTGACATGGAACTTACTGCATGTTGGCGATAAGTTTGGTCCCTTTTTAAGAGGAGATAGACTTCTGAATCCCCACTAACAAGAAATATGATCCCTGCTAACAAGAATAGAGACTGAGTTTCAGGAGACTAGGATGAAAGATGCTCCCTTCACAGCCTCCCTAGTGAACCTGGGGCACTTGCCTGTTCCTCATCAGAGGATATACTTCCTTGTAGGACTGTCTGGTAGCTTCCTACCTCCGTCCACCGCCACTCTTCGTTAGTAAACTGTGATCAGTACAAGCCCATCACTTATCTCCAACAGCTGCCTCTGTGGCTTCAGAGAGGCACACATGTAAGAGTGTTACCAAGAGAAACAGCCTTCCTGAGGAGTTAGCTAAAGCATTGGCTCTCAGGGCCTCAGGGCCTAGCGTAACAGAAAATGTCCTGTCCTCGGGTACTGGAAGATCCTTCACTCTTTCCCTTAGCAACTTCCTCTTCAGTTAAGCCCAGACTCAGGAGCCCAAGGTTTTCTGTGCATTGGAGACTTAACTCTGATGTAAAGAAGATTCCAAAGAAAGCTTAGTTATTCTGTAATTAAACCAGACTCCCAGGTTATTCCTCTTCAAAAGAAGACAGAGTGTGAAGTATACTGTATATGAATTACATACATAGTGCATACAAAAATAAAACAAAGTAACCATCTGTGAAATCCAAAGTAAAGCAGATGCATAGGTACTTTGGATGTAACCAAGACCGACCGGGGCATTGGGTAGCGCCTTAATGAAGCATAATGACTGAGCTAGATAAGGGGGCAGAGGGGCAAATAGATCAGTAGGCAAGGGACGTCATCCAGGGATAAGTGGGAAGGAAGCCCTGGAGTCCACTGGAGCCCATTTATGGCCCCTGTAAGGGAAAAGCTAAGCCACCTAGCCAGTGGGAGGCACTAGCTTGTCTTAGCATCTTAGCAGCTACCTACCTAAATCTGCAAAGGGACAATCCCTTCCCCCCAACACACACACACACACACACACACACACACACACACAGAAGGAACAGCCTTCTGGGAAGCCTCCTCCCCAGGTCTCCAACTCCATGTGCCAGTATAGTTGGGAGCCTCTTCTAGTGACCACCATTTGTCATTTGTTTTATGTTAATTCGTGTGATTTAAGGGTTTTCTCGTACATCTTGGTTTATGTTTTTCATTGTTTTAGTTAATTTTTTGGAGATAAAGGTGTTCTATGTAAGAACTGGGGTTTTTTGTTTTGGGGTTTTGGTTTTGGGTTTTTTTGTTTGTTTTTGTTTTTGCCTGTGCTGATCGCATGTTCTCTGTTGATGTCTTGTCCCTGATCTTGACACTGGCCATCTTGTCTGTGAAAGGAAGCGTTCCAGCGGGCTTGCTTGATCAGAAGAAAGGGAAGTTTGCTTGGTTTAGTCACTCTACAGAAACCCATGGTAATGTCTCTTATGTTTTATGTGTGTAAATGTGTGTTGGGTGTGTTGGTCCATACAGATTGCCTAGGAGAATGTTTCTCTTAATGTCTGGTGCGTGCGTGCGTGCGTGCGTGTGTGTGTGTGTGTGTGTGTGTGTGTGTGTGTGTGTGTGTGTAAGACCACTGCAAAGAGCTAGCAAGCATGACAACCAGCACCAACTGTTCCCTGATAGAAGATGGAGTCATTCCTTTGGTTAGTGACAGCCAAAATCAAAGTCACTGTAAAGGCAAAATTAGTACTGGTACTGAAAGTGCCTAGACATTAGAAGATACACTTACTCTTAAGGCCCAGACCACTTCTTTCTAATTTTGGTGTCTTTCAGAACCTAGCAGCACTACTTTCATACCACTTCACACACAGTCAAGGGGTTCTCTGAGAGCTAAAGTCAGGTGGCTTTCTACATATGGCTCAGCCCTTCCAAGAATGAGATCTGCAGAGTTAAAAGGGCTGAGTCAGAGTTGGCCGAAGATAAATGAACTGAAAGGCAGAGTACTCCTCACTTTTACAGCTTCTTGTTTAATATGGCTTGTCCACAACTCCTAGAAAACGTTGAAGGTTCCCGTTCCCAGTTCCCAATGCTAACCCACCTCAAATGACTAGTCCCACCACTCAGACCTGAGGCTATGATGTGAACGTCAATGCTGTAAAACCAAGCGACATTCCCAGGCCATGTGGTTGTGTGTCCAAAATCTGGCTCGGCTTCTCAGTCGTTGACTTACCTGAGATGTAGAGAAGAGACTAGGTCAGTACTGGAACAGTCAAGGTGAGCATGGGACAGGGACAGTGCCCAGTCACTAGTTCTTTCTAGGCATAGTATGGGATCTTGACCATCATACCCATTCTCTCAAGCCTCACTTTCCTTTCCTGTGACCTAAGGAGACATGTTAGAGCTGGGTAATTTCTACAGTCTCATCTAGCCCTTAACATCCATAAGATGTCTGGACTCTTTTTCCTCAATGTATTTGAGAAAGAGTCCTAAGTCAAAGAGAACTGCCCCATGGGACAGTCAAAAGATAGTAAGCCATGAGTTTTCTATCTGTGGCACCCATGTTCTTGAAAGGAGCCTCTTCTCATCCACCTGACTTGTTTTAAACCAAAAGAAAAGAAACTGAGAAAAGTCCACATCCATCAACATAACTAGTGAAAGTCCTCCTCTGGGCTGTGGTAGTCCATGGAGATGAATCACTCATGTCACATTCCTATTAGTTGTAGATGCTGTGGACACTGAGGGCTGATGATTTTTTTTTTACCAGATGGGGTCTATTCTGGAAGGATTGTTGATTCAGATTGCTTGAAAGAAGTATTGATAAAATCAAAAGATTCCCTGGGAGTTGTGGTACCCAGCACTAATCTCAGCACTCGGGTCAGGCTGAGGCAGGGAGATTGCAAATTTGAGGCCAGTTTGAAGTATATCAAGGCCCTATCTTTTCTTTTTAAGTAAAAATATGAGGATTCACATTACATTAAAAGGATGATAGCAGCTCTGAAGAATTTTTTTAGCTAAACTTTAATTTCATAGAATAGATAATATACTAAAAGAAATGACCTCCTCAAAGCCACCATGCCGTGTCTAGGATAGAAAACCCCCTTCTGGAAATCTAGACTGCTGCTGCCTTGGAGTAAGACACTGGTCATTGCTTAGGCAGATTGGCTCCTGGAGAATCAGGTAGCTTGTGTCTCTGTTTACATGAAAGTGTCGGACTTCTGGGAAGGGGGATGGTATCCCGCAGCTCTCCATGAGCAACATATAGGCATGATTTTGGGAATCCTGTAACTAGACACCCCCATTCCTTGTGTCCACCATGTTGTGTGAGGCTCAGCACTTGGGTTTAGTGGTGACTAGTTACCTCAAGCCGACCACATCAGATATGGTCGTACGGGTCATTGTTTTATGACACAGTGTGCACTTCAGGAAATAAAAATGTGCCTAGGTCCATCAAGAAATTTGTGTAGCAAAAGAGCCCTATCTGCAAAGAAGCTAGACTCCAGTCTTGGGGGTAGAGCTGGTAGGAGAAAGAAAGAAGGTGTCAAAGTCATATGAGATCCTCTCTCTCTGTGGTCAGTGAGATACAAATGGAAAACTTCCACAGCCTTTCTGAGGCTACAGAGTTGAGGGCAGAGGACGGATGGGACCTTCCATCTTACCCAGAGTGCCCTGAAAGGTACATGGCCTGATTATCAGAGTCGCTCCTACATTCCTACTCATATGCACCATCCTGGCAGCTGACTTGTCCAGCCTGACGAGGACAGTGACAGGCCCCAGCTCCCACAGAGAAGCCAGCAGATGGTGCCCAGCCAGGCTTGGGCTAGGATGGTATGCCATGCACTAATACTCTTCTCCTCTCTTTCTCCCCCTACCCTCAACTGCCTTTCACGCCTCCTTCGCTCGTAGTGAGCATGCCCACGAGTGAGACCGAGTCCGTCAACACTGAAAATGTGGCTGGAGGTGACATCGAGGGCGAAAACTGTGGAGCCAGACTTGCGTGAGTACCCATGGCAAACTTAGCATTGAGTTCTTCCTGGGGCGTGGCCTGCGGAGCTGGCTCATGGAGTCCGAGTGGCATGGCTCCTCACTGTGGGGGCAGAATCAGAACCTTGGTTGACAACCTGTGCCCTGAGTGGAGAGAAAAGAGACCTGGGGTAAAGCATGGCCTCGTACGTGGTAGTGGGCTCTTCAGATTAAACCCCATCTTCAGCACTTCTGCGGGTGCTGCCAAACAAAGATGCCAAGCCCCTCTCACCCCACCAGAGAAGTACAGAAGGTAGAGGTGCTCTGATGTTCTTAAAATTCCCTTTCTTTTTTTTTCTATTTTTTTAAGTTTTAAAACTTCTCTATTTATTACAATTTATTCACTTTGTATCCCAGCTGTAGCCCCTTGCCTCATCCCCTCCCAATCCCACCCTTCCTTCCTCATCTACTCCATGCCCCTTCCCCAGTCCACTGATGGGGAGGTCCTCCTCCCTTTCCATCTGACCCTAGCCTATCAGGTCTCATCAGGACTGTCTGCATTGTCTTCCTTTGTGGCCTGTTAAGGCTGCTCCCCACTCAGGGGGAGGTGATCAAAGAGCCAGCCACTGAGTTCATGTCAGAGACAGTCTCTGTTCCCCTTACTAGGGAACCAACTTGGATACTGAGCTGCCATGGGCTACAGGGTTCTAGGTTATCTCCATGAATGGTCCTTGGTTGGAGTATCAGTCTCAGAAAAGACACCTGGGCCCAGATTTTTTGGTTCTGTTGCTCTCCTTGTGGCGCTCCAGTCCCCTCCAGGTCTTTCTGTCACCCCCTTCTTTCATAAGATTCCCTGCACCCTGCCCGAAGTTTGGCTATGAGTCTCAGCATTGAGAGCCAGTATATTAGGGTCCCTGATGCTACATGCCTACCCTTTCCATCCTGGCAAACATTTTCTCAGAGAAATCACCAGCTAAGAAACTACACTGCCAGACTGATGATCATCCTGGTCCTGTGCAGTTCTGACCTGCCCTTCTAATGAAGGGGAGCACATGCCTGGTGTACCACCTAGAATGTCCTTAACGTTGGGTAGTGGTTCTCAACCTTCCTAATACTTTGACCCTTTAATAGAGTTCCCCATGTATGGTGACCCCAACCATAGAATTATTTCATTGCCACTTCATAACTGTAAGGTTGATACCGTCATGAATCGCAGCGTAAATATATGTAATGCAGGAACTGTGATGTGCAACAAGCCGCAATGGGATTGCGGCCTGCAGGTTGAGAGCCACTGGCCTAGGTGGCAGCAGTCCTTCCAACTAAGCCTTCCTCCCGCTCCCTGGCTTCTGAGAGCTGGCTTTGACCTGGGACTTAAGCAGACAGGAGAGAACAGGAGCTGCTGTCCATGGGAGCAGTTCACAGACAGATTATCACAATCTTGAACACAGAATCAAGTCATCCATGTCAATGACGCTCACTCCCCTAAACAAAGGGGGAAACCATTTCATTACTAAAAATGGCAAAAACCGGTTTGATTACAAGTGTCACAGAAAGCAGAGCCTGGGGAGTTCAAAGGGTAGGCCATGAGGTAGCCATATCTAAGCTTCACTCTAGGAGGCAATGACCATGGGCTTGGCAGCTGTAACCCCGTCTTGGCCACTGGAAGGAACTGCGAGCAGAAAGCTCTGAGTAGGATTAGCCCAAATAAAATATGTCTCCAAATGCTGCATGGGTAGCACCTCCCCCTGTAGCCTGGCTCGCTGATGTGCTGACCGCTCACAGCAGTAGCTGCAGGCAAATCTGAGTGAGCCAAAAGAGGGAGGTGAGCAAGGCTGAGGAGCAGAGCGCAGCGCCGCAGTCAGGTTCCAGAGGACACAGGGCCGTGGGCATCGCTCACTCTGACAGTGGCACCAGGGAGCCTGTGCTGCAGATTTTGCAGCATTGTTGAGAAGCAATTATTGTCAACATGTTGTTAAAATACGGTGCTAATTACGTTTGTAAGCAGTGCTCCCAGCCTTTCTCCTTCTTCCTCGCTCTTGGAACTGGACAGAATAAACCCGTGAGTTTCTAGAGGCATCCCCAGATAGCCATGATCAGGGCAGGCATATGCGACCCTTCTAGTCCATAAGCTCTAGGCCTTTCTGCTTGCTAGACATCAAGGATTGGGAATTTGGAGAAAAGATCATCAAGGTCATTACAGTGCTGACTATGGGCGCATGGCCCAAGGTATAAACCAGGAGGGGCCAGGGAGCTGGCGCTGGGAACTCACTGAACAGTACATTTTAGGAGTGCATGATGCTGTGTTGGAAAGCAAACACAATTATCCCCTATGGAGGGAAACTGGCATCCGCTAGCCTATCTGTCACTTCCTGGGAGGATGTGCTCTACTGGCTTCAAGAGTTATCCAGAAATGGTTGTTCTTATTCCTATGTATAGCACAGCTACCCTGATTGCAAACGGTACAATTGCTCTGCCAGAATATGAATACGCACCTCATCCACCGCTCTCTTTCCCCATTTCCCGAGAAGACGGCTGCTCTTCCTATCAATCAGTAAATTGGCTTGAGAAGAGAAGCGGGCTGAGGGCCGAATGAGAGATCATTGTCTTACATCTTTGAGTTAAAAGTCCCGACTTCAGAATGAGGACCACATGTAAGGAGAAAGCTGGGATAAAGAGGTTTCCTGGGTGGTAGCGGGATGTGGAGAGAAAGAACTGCAATGTTATACAATGCAGTGACAGGGGAGGAGATAAAGGAATGACTCGCCAAAATTTGATAAGAGAAATTGGAACAAGTCTGAAGCAAAATTTAAAGAGGGAGTCTGGCATGAAGAACACACAGGTACAATGTGAACAGCAGGCTGAGGAGCTCTGACGTCCAGTTCTGAGCAGAGGTAGAGAGTGGCATTTTAGGTCATGGACAAGGTGATAGGACACAGTTTGCTCAGAGAGGGCTAGGAAGCAGAAGACCAGGACCCGCCCTTGGGGAAACTAGCACCCAGAAGAAGAAGAAGCAAACAAACAGGCAGTTATACCAGGAGATGTGGGAGGGAGATGTCAGGGAAGTCCTCTCTGTGCGAATCTTCATGGCAGTACACAGCCCGAGCTGGGTGGGAGAGAGAGTAGTCATCCAATAAAGTGACCAGGAAGTGTGGAAGAGGCCCTAGAGACCAGGGTGTTATGACGCATAAGTAAACGGCAGAGAGTCCTGGTTTGAATTAGAAGGCTAAAAAAAAAAAAAAATTCTTCAAAGGATCAAAATCGAAGCTGGAAACCAAGAATGAGTATAAGCACTAAGTGCCAAGGGGCAGCGTGTGTGAGGGACCGTGGCTCAGCTGGCAGGGCATGGTTGGCAGGCTCCAACGGTGAGCTTGGTCTTTGCTCTAGGAGTGTAAGAGGTTCCTGAGGGGTTTTAAGAACACAGAGTTTGTGTGAAGAGGTTGGCTTGATCAGTCTTGAACTCTTGAAGGATCACTTCGGCATTAGGGACAATAGGGAAGAGGGTGACACACTGACGAAGTAGCCTGTGGCTGCTCAGGCATGGGACAATGGTGGCCTCGGGGTGAGTTGTAATGTGGGGGCAGAAAGAGTGGGTCAGCTCTCTACTCTAAGGAGTTGGGGGAAGTATACTGACTTTGGGAACCAGGCTCAGCAAGGGAAGGGTGGATATTTGCCAGTGCAGGCCTTCTCTGAGGCTGTGCAGAAGGAAAGAGGAAGAGGCTAGGGAAAGGAGGAGGTGCCATGGCAACAAAGAGGTGGCTTTCACTAGTCTTCAAGGCATTAGAAGCCAGTGAAAACAAAGAGGCTAAAGAAACTGCAGAGGAACTGAGCATAGGAAGTAGAGTTCCTCTGCCTGGGAAAATGAAAGGTAGCTGACGTCAGAAGCAGTGGTCAGGCCTGCGACCTCAGCCAGGCTCCTTCCTCTCAAGAAAGGGACAGGATGGACCATTGACTCTAGCAGAAGCCAAGACTGGTAACCACCTTCCAAGGCTACTTCAAAGGGCACCACCCCCATCTGTTTGACATACGTGGCTGTGTGAGATCACAAATGAATAAGGCATTCAGCAGCTTGAGAAATCACACACCAGAGACCCATGTTGACATGAAGGATTCCTTACAGCTCTGCGGGCCTATGATTCTGTAAAGAGTGTGGCGTCAGAAGCACATTGGTCAGTGGTGGGAAGCATTCTAAGGCCCATCATCTTTGGCAGGGTGATAGTGGGTGTTACAGAAATGTGAACGATAGCCTGGGAGATACAGTTGGGAAAAGGAGGATCTCTAGGTGTGCGGCCGTGGCCATTCTGGAGACTGACACTGCCAATGTGAACTTGGCGTCTTTCAAATGTATTTTTGGTACTTATTTTTTAATAACCAAAAAGCACTAAAAAGACAATTAGGTGAATCTAGATGTTAGCCACAGTGACCCATCTAAAGACCAAGTAGGCAATCTGCCTTACTCAAGGACCACACGTGCATCACTGAGGACCAAGCTGAGCACTAGAAGTCAAGCCTGTCATTTGCTTAGGGGCCTTGGAAGAGGCAGGATGAGAGAGAGGATCCACTACAGGCAAAGTCTAGGTTTCAGGAAGGAGGTTTAGGCTAGAAATGGGGAGCAGCTGGGCTCGGCATCCGATAGCTGGAGTCTTGTTCATCGGGGACAAGGTCCAGGATGTGTCCCCCCTCGTGGTAACAGCTAGGGTTGTGACAAAGCTGTGCAGTTAGAGAAGGTGTGTCAGCAAATCTGTCTGACTGTGCTAAAGGCAAAATGGGGACAATTCAGGAAACAACTCTTTGCCACAGCAGGTAGTAAGTGAACGGCACTTATTACTCAAAGGAGGGAGAAGCTGAAAGTATAAACAGCTCTCAAGGAGTTCAAACATTTGCCAAATAATGATAAATACAAAGCAAGTGACTAAGAGGAAGATACTTTGGGGGCTGTCTTTAACTTTGGTAAGGAAATTCTTGGTCTTCCAGGTTGGTTCTAGAGGTCCAGGTGAGTGCCTGAGAATGAATAGACTTCAGTCCCTGCCCAGGGGTGTATTCGGAGGTTTCATGTTCTGGCTGGTTATTAACCTCCTCCACTTCCTTGTTCTTAAATCCACTTGAGACACGAAGCAAGGAAGGCTTTCCACATGAATATGAATGGTGGGAAAAAATCAAGAAACTTCTGAGCAAGCTTCTCATGCCCACTGGGTTTGGATACACTGGAGGCTAGTGCTGCTTTTGGTACTCTACAGTCTGCACAGATTTCAGACATCAGTAGGAGGCATACATGCAAAGGCGCTCAGTGCTCCCCGGCTCCTTTCTCCACAGTGGGAACAGCTATCCAAACACTGACTCTGTTTCTACTGCCAGGACACAGGGGGCTGTGAGCAGTAGTAGCCTTCTATTTCATGATGTAAGTCCTGCAGCTAACTGCTCCTGCATCCAGGGAGCACCGAGGAGTCCAAGTGTTTAATCTTACACAGAGTTCCAAGCCCAGCTCTTCTAGGACCATCTCAAATGACATTGCTCCTCTCCATGTGCAAGTACGTGTTGGATACAGAGAACTTAATGTCATGCTCACTGGCTCCTGCTAGGGACAAGAAGCCTTCCTCATGTGAGGTGTACATGGTTAGATATCAAGACTTGGAGCCAAAGAGGTAGGAAACTCATGAACTATGGGCTCCTTTGGCCCATAGTGTGCAAGGACACCAAACAATGGCCACACATGAACAAGGAAGAATATTCACTCAGCTCCGATCTCCCCTTACCCCATAATCACAGATTCATTTCCTTAAGAGAACCCCCAAGTTCCTCGGTGGGGGCTGGGGAGGTTGTCTAAGATCTGACTTTTGCATTTGACTTAACTGGACTGAAAGTAAGGGTGACATTTGCAGGAGGCAAAGGGTCTGAGAGACCACGGAGACTCTGCAAGAAAACCTGGAGCCAACCAGATATTCTTAAAGATCCCTGAGCTCAGCATATCCTTGCCACAGAGAGTAACCTGTCTGCCTGTCTCTATTTAGCAGCTAGCAAACATTTATCCTCCCCCAACAGTCCCCTCCCATTAAACAGTGGCTTTAGATAAAAGATGCTGCCCCAGGCTCTAGGTTGCTCTCCCACATGCTTGGTTAACATGTGATTAAATGCTGCAGCCTAGCAGGCAATCTTGGGGGTGGAAAAGGTTGTTAGTTAACAGTTCCGAGCAATAAATGCATTTGGCTCAGTCTCTCAGTGCCCGGGAGATATAATTATCTCATGCACGATGGCTTTGCCACCTGTCACATCTTTGGTGGGTTTTTTTTTTTATATATAAAAAAAAAGTAACAAGAAGGGTTGATGTTTTCTTGTTACGTGACATAGCTTGCTTTTTTTCTGTTTTTTTTTTTTGTTTGTTTGTTTGTTTTTGTTTTTTGCGTGACTGGGACAACATGGCTTCAAGCAGTCACTTTCCAAAATCCCTACAAGGCTCTCTCTCTGATCATTGTCATTTCTCATTTGGATTCTTTTCTTTGAGGCCATGTTTGTTTGTTTTTTAATTTAAATTTATTGTGTTTGAGAATTTCTTACATGAGTGCTGTATTTACATCATTCCTCCCTGTCCGCTTTCAACACCTTCCATATCCCCCTGCTCCTCTCACTTTCATGACCTGACATATTTATAAACATATAACCTGCTGAGTTCATTTAGTGTTGCTCACATGTAATGTGGTTAGGGCTGACTGCTTGGTGTTGGATAATCTGTCGGGGACCTTGTGCCTGGAAAGGACGGATTTTCTCTCTCTTATATCTGTCTGTAGGAGTAGGGCTTTCTGAGATTTTCCCCATCCCCACTGGCATATCAGCGGTGCTGTCATTTTGCAGGTCTTGTCCGTGGCCATTTGAGCAGTTTCACTCAACCTGCTTTTTCTGCCCCTATTCACCTTTCTCTTAGCTTCTAAGTTAATCAGGCATGTACCTTCAAACGTGTTTTTCCCAAAATGTTTTGTCTCAATTGCTTACATTCTCCTTCGCTTTCTCCCCTCCTCCTTCCCTCCCTTCCTCCCTCCGCCCTCTGTCCTCCCTCCCTTTTCTATACTTCTCACTAACACGCCTCTCTCTTGGCCTCTTTCCACCTCCTAACTCTGTGTAGCTTTCCTGAAATCTGTCCTAGATGACCTGGACAGTCTCAAAGCCTCCCTGAAGGTGTCACCTTTCTGGACCCTTCCCGTGCAATGGTCCTTCAAGGAAGCTGTCTTCAGGGAGCCCTTCCTCCAGGACTACACCCAACTTTATGCATACACCATTCCTTTAGAACCTAAGGCTCTTTGTCCTGATCTAGTGATCAGCTCTGAGGAAGGGAAGTGATGGCCCTTTGCATTCCAGCTGGTTCGTGTGGCTTGCATGTGCTTCCTAATCCCACTCTGGGAAGATGCTGGCAGACTGTTGGTAAGGTCAGCACTGTGAGCTTTCAGTTGGTGAGGTCCTCCTGTCTGCCAGAGAGGCTTTCCACCTGCCATGGCTTTTCTCAAGGGGAACTGTTCTTAGCCCTTCATGCAGTTTGTGGGCAGGTACCGATCCTCTCAGGACTGTGTGCTCCCCCTTTTCAGTGAGGATCACCCACGCTTAGAAGATACTAGATTTGTAGGCGTCAGCTGGGCCAGCCACATTCAAATATACAGAGTGTTCTCTCTATGGCATTATAACCCACCCCACAAGTCCTTCCAGCGCCCACACATAGTCCTGGGGAGCACCAAATTCCCCTGGGATGGCTAAGCGCTCTTGATGTGGAAGAAAGTGAGTTCGTTGTCTTTGCTAATGTTCCCTTTTATTCTTTCAGGCACTGGATCTCCAAATCCAAGTTCAGGTGAGTAAGATGCGAGCAACTCGTCTTCCCTTCTGCCCCTCCAGCCTAATCCCCAGCTACTCCATCCAATGACCAAGGTAATTCCTACCAGCTTGGATCCTTCCTAGGGTATAACTGCTTGCTATTGTATGGGGCTTCACAGTTTGGTCAAGAGCACTCACTCAAGGGTTGAGACTTGGATTCTCTTGGGTAGGCTCCGAGTGGTTAGAACAGTGCCTACCTCCTGTATAAGATAAAGTCAGTTAAAATAAACCTGTGAACATTTGTTACTGCTTGGCATGCTTCACAACTTTGAGGATTACCGGCAGAATGTAGATTCAGTCAGTGCTTTGAGACGGTGTCAGAAGCTTCCAGAACACCCACCCTGGGACCCGCCTTTGCCTTTACCTTCTGTACTTCTGCCGCAAACACTTTGTTCCACCACTTGCAGCTCCTTGCAGGTTCCCAAATGTTCTCGACCCTTTGGCACATGAAGATTTTTTTTTTTTTTTTTGGTGGGCCATGCCCTCGGCCTAAATCACCATCTATGTCTCTACCTGGAAAAGTCAAGCAGCACAAAGGCTGCGGCATCCAGGGCACCCTCTGCACACTCCCAGGCATTCCTTCTCCATGCCCACATGCTTTGTCATGCCCTTGTCCTAGCACTCACCATATCGTACTCTAGCTATTGGCTGGAAAACCTGATGCCTCCATTGAACTTTGTCTGCACACAGAGTCTGCTGAATGCTTTCCGAGCTGCCCCATGGTTGACTCTGAGAGCTCCCTGGATGCTTGACTGATTGTAAATGTAGGATGGGAATGCAAATTTAATTCTACAGGCCTTACATCAAAACGCATTAGCCATTTATTTTTCATAACATACTCTTGCCTCCCTCGCCTCATCTCGTATGTAGTGGAGAAGTAGCTGGCGCATAATAAGGATTTAATAATGTGGATGGATGGATGGATGGATGGATGGATGGATGGATGGATGGATGGGTGGATTACCTGGTCTTAGTGAGACAGTAGACTTGACAGATATTCAAACAAAATGTCATATTTGACAAGTATGCGTTACCCTGAACAGTTCCACAACCCCCACATAGTAATAGTAGAGAGATTAAAAATTACAGTGAAAATATTTCCCAAATTCTATTCTTGCTACATGCAAATGAGGGAATCATAGATGAATGAATGGATAAACACAATCTGGAGACTTGTGGAGAAGATCCTGTACTTAGTAGACAGATACTCATGAGTTTGCAGGAGATTCTAAACCTTCCTTTTGAATTGGGTCATCTATAGTGTCACATCTGTCATTGAAAAATTATAATCCTTTGATCCTTGTGCCTCTGTCCACTCCGTGTCTCCCAGCCACAGGGCTCTCATTGTGCTTACTTTGGTGGGTGAGAGTGCTCCTCTCTCTGCACTTCCAATTGAAGAGAAGCACGGAAATGACCTTGTACCCACAGACGGCTTCTTTTTGGTGGGTTGCCACAGTCATTAGAAATACCTGTAGACAAGCCTCCAGGCTTAGAGAAACCCAGAGTCATGGCTCAGGAAGAGCCTCAGCCATCCTGGAGGGAAAGTCCTGGCTGGTGTACCCAACCTGTTTCTGTAAGTTATTCTAACGGCCCTGTCAAGGAAGTACAAAGAAACAGCAGGAAATGAAACCTTCTCGTTTAAAGCAGTATAAGTAAAGCATTGTCATTCCAACCCAGCCGGAACTAGTCTAACACATTTTAGTGAGATATCGTGTGTTCTTTCTGCCCCAAGACTTTGCAACTTAGACGGGCCTTACATTTACTGTATATCCTAGTCTGGATTGGCCACACATTGCTAGTAGCTGCCACTCAGACAAGGGGACCCTAGAAGTTCTGAGCGATATCACAAGCAGCTGGCTAACCTAGATCCTTCAGCCCACTGTTGGTGTGTGTCTGTTTAGGGAATAGCTGAGGCTGGTAATGGATTGAAAATGCTAGCAAAATTATCAACGTTTCCCAAATAGTCCTCTCAGTTGGGGAAACAATCTAATAATGACAGTAATAGAATTTGAGCTTCAAATTGGCCTATTTTAGGTACAAGACTGGATGATACAAAGTCGTAGTTAATGTTGAAAGACTGGTTTAACAGAGCTTACGGGGGGGGGGGGATGAGACAAATTAGATGATACTTGGGTATTTTGATAATTCAGGCTTTCATGTACAGGAAAATAAAGACTTGGCTATAATTGGGGCTCACTATGCATCATTGCTCGAGAGAACCATTCGAGTTTTTCTGAGAAAACTATGCAGAACTCAGAGCAAACCTTACAGCGTTCCAGAATTTGAGGACTGTCAGGCCTAGTCTTCAGCAGAAATTGCCTCCCACATCACTGCCTTTCTGCTCTGCCAAACAACCAGGTGCAAACTCCAGTTTCCCCCAATCGCTAATAGCCCATTTTTAGGCTACTTACTCATGAAGGATTAAATTTGGTGATTGCTCTCTGCTGTTTGTTCCAGCTGCTAGACAGGCTGCTATGTCCACTGTTTTCATGTCTCAGGCCTATCAGCATTTGTGTCCTGAGAAAACCAGCTTAGGAGCAGTGTCCTTCCTGTGCTCCCACCCTCCTTCCCGAGGTTCAGGGTTTTAAGCCTTGCCTTTTTCAGGGAGTCAGCCCCGGGCCATGTCTCTGTGGCTCGCACAAGCCCGTAAGCCAGCATCTTACTGTGTGAGATGAACTGCGCTTAATGCCACGGGTCTGAAACAAAGTTAGAAGGCACAGTCCCTGCTTCTTGTGGATCCGATTATCTCATTAAAGAGTCAGAAGCCATACATTCAAAGTTAACCGATAGTACCAGGCAATGGAAGCCCTCTACAGGCAGAAACCTCCCTGGATGCCTCCGTGGCTACCTAAGATGTAACCTAGGGACACTATTGCAGAGTCCCCCCGCGCGAGAAGCATGTTCACCGACTGCTCAGTGACCCGGCTGAGATTTGCGCTGACAAGGACTGTGTCTGTTAACTGTTGATGTCTTACCTTGTCCATAGGAAACGCTAAATAAGTGTTTCTTGACTGCACAAACAAAATGTGTAATGTAGACAGCCTTTGCGGGGACACCAAGGCAAGAGCAGAGCATCTACTGCAGAGAAGCCGGGCTTTGAATTGAGCCGGAAGGATGGGCAGGACCTAGACGATGGGAGTAGAAGGTGGAAGCCTTCATAGTTGGCAGGGTGTTCTGTTTTGGGAAAAAGAAAGGGGGGGGGGACAAAGGCCGGGGGGGGGGGGGGGGGAGTGAAGATAAGATGAGCCAAGGGAGGGAGAGCAGAGCACAGTACAGACAATTAAGTACAGTAGACACATTCACCTCCATCCTTCTCCCCCACCCCTATCTTCCACCCCTGTTGGTGTATTTCTAGAGTAAATGACTTCCAGCTAATGCAAAGAGAACGTGAAGAGCAGGCAAATTTCTCCTCCCTGTTTTATCATTTAATTTCTATATCCTCCATGCCTATGTAAACATACAAATAAATGTACACATTCTAATAAACTATTACATTTATTATATAGTAGGAAGTGTTGCCAGGAAACCAGCTGTCAAGCAAAACTATATTTGAAGAGTGGGAGATGTACAATTATCTTTAAATACTTTCCCTGGATAGTAATTACTCCCATCCCCACCACAACCCAAATCCATGTGACTCTCCAGGCTGCCTCTGTGCAGCCTCTGTGCAGTAGCAGCCACATTTAACAGAGCTGGCAGAGAGCAGTTCTGGACCTGTGTGACGGGCCTGACTTTACAGAAAAAAAAAAAAAAAAAAAAAAAAGCAGCGCCATGTTTACAACTTCTAAACTTGAGATAAATGGCCTTGGTCAAATTCTCAGTATTAAACTGACTCCGAGTCAGTTTCTACCTACTCTAGTTAAGAGCGTCCTTGATCGCTTTGGAGTCTGCACAGCAGTCATCAGTGCTTGCTGCAGTATGGGACTGTATCGGTTTTGAAAACACATCTTTGCGACTGACGTGTTTTTAAAACTATCCTATAACATTAGTAATCAGAATCATAAGAAGAGGTAGGGCGTGCCCTGACAACACAGGACCGTGCAGTATCAAGTTCTGGCGAGCACAGGGGGCACCTCTCGTCACAACTACCTGGGAGTCTCTGTCCTAGCCACTTGTCCTTCTTCACATAGCTCCCTGTCCTCACCCTTGCATGTCGCTCGGCTAGATGTTTCAAGTATCTTGAAGCGCACTGGCAGACTAATGTCTGACCGTGTGGCGTCTCTTCTGTGCACAGTGAATTCCTCAAAGCACCAGCTAAGCTAAGTGTTCCCTGCAAAGTTGGGACACCCAGTGAAAGATGGATCCGGCCAGAACACAGAGATTAATCTGTCTTTCAACTTACAGGCCCAAACTCAATCCCTCTCCCCATAGTCCTCAGGGAAGAATTCAAGTTCTAAGATACCCCCCCCCCCCCCAGCTCTTCCATTCCCACTGTAGAACTCAGTTAAGTCCTGGTAACGGGCTTCTCCACGGAACAATAGGTAGAAAAATTACACAGGTGAAGCCACGCTACCCCAAAAGTCAACGTGACTACATGGAGGGAACCATTTATATAGACATCTATCTCCCTGGGACCACAGAACACAGTCTGCCCTTCGTGTGGAGCTGCTGGTGTTGAAAGGGTCTCCCTTAAGGAGCAGAGAGCTGAGTCGGAGGACAGGGTATGGAACGTAGACAGCCCTGTGCCCCGCGTCTGACATGCTTGCATTGGTGCTGTGGGACCCTGAAAGCCATTCAGGGTTTTCAGCTGATGCTCCTCCAGTGCAGAGGAAATGACTAACGTGTCTATGATTTTCTCTGGCCAGAAGACCTCAGATATGGACTCCTGACATAGATTTATTCAGAATGTTGGACTGCAGTTCAATTTTATTGCCTTCTATTTTATTGCAAAATAGAAGGCTGTTTTTTTGGTTTTTGGTTTTTTTATATATCCTGGCCCAGGACAACATACACACACACACACACACACACACACACACACACACACACACACACACACACACACACCCCTAAGGCTTTTCTTCGGGTATTTCTCACTTCTTACTTTGAATCATTCTGTATTTTCATTCTGTTCCTTTTCTCAGTGCTGATCATGGCCTATCAGACAGCTGTTCCATCCACTTCCGGGCTGCAGAGTGAGGTTTTCGGGTCTCTGCTGCAAGCAGGTCTTAGATGCTTGCTTAGGGGCCTAGACTAGAAAAGTCAAATAGAAATTATCACATGAAAGTACAGGCACCTGTGACTGTCACACCAGGGTGCTGTCTCAGTCCCTCCTGCCTCCTTTGCCTGACCCCCAGCAGGGGCTCTGCATGCCTCATCTTTCTGCACACACTACCCTGAGCCAGGTTCCAAGGCAAATGCCCTGCCCTTCTTCCAGCCACCCTCTGTTCCCAGAGAACCGGTCTCTGGCTTAGAGGGTGCTAGAAGATAGCCATTTTGATGCTGCATCCCCTTTGTACCCTTCCCTCATCTTGAAGCCCAGTCTCCCATTGACTTTGCTTCCACATCTGCTGTGTCCTCAGTGTCCTTTGGGCCACTAATCATTTTTTTTTAAAGTTAGAGCTGTCCTTTTTGTTCCACCCTGATCTAGAAGCTCACTGTGTTTCAGTCCGGTGGTGACTGGTTTTCTAAAATAGAGTCTGCTCGTGCGTTTCTTCCTGTGATGGGTCTTGGCCTGGCTGTCCACGGCCCAGCTCTCCATGCTTCTCCATTGCTTCTAGGCAGCTGTTAAATACAGAAGTCCCCAGCATAGCTGTGTGTTGTGAAACAGTGAAACCCTATAGCACAGTCATAAAATGGGAGTGTTTGCTTGGGATCATCCAACTTAATGGTTCTCAACCCTAATTACACATAGAGCAAGCTGGGGGGGGGGGCTTTAAGAAGTACCAGCGCTATCTTTTGAGCATTTGAATGTACCTAGCACCCAGTTAATCAGTCCGAAATCAGATTGATTTAGGGACGGGGTGGCCGGGTGGTTGTTAAAGCTTTCTCTGTTAAAGCTACGTTCTATGCGTAGCCACACATGAAAACCACTGCAGAGTCCTTGACCAACTGTGCTGAAAAATGCTATGTTTGCTGCAAATCAGCCTCTTCCTCTTTGTGGTGATAAGATATGGATTGAGTGGAAGGGACCGGGTTTGGGTCAGCATCCCCCTGCCTCTGCCACTCTAGTGTATCAAAGCGGTTGCTCAACCTCAATGGCCCTTAGTTTCTTCCTCGGTATCACGTTCATGCAAGCTTGACAGAGATTCTTAAGGACTTTTGGAGAAGCCCTGAGATGTTCCTAAAATACCTAAAAGGCCTACAAAAGGCTTTATTCATAGTAACCATCTACCAATTCTGTCCCTGACACTAGAGCAACAACTAATTCCTCCCCCCCCCATCTCATACTTGCCACACTATTTCTGATCATGCCGTTAAAATAAATTAAAAATAGTTGGAAACTCCTTTTTCTTTCAGTGCTGGAGATTGTGACCAAGACTTATACATGCTTGGCTTTACCATTGAGTTGTGTCCCCAGCTGAGAACATAAAAGCAATCCCACTTGTTCGGTCACTTCAGCATCATGCCAAATGGCTTATAAGGCATTTTAACCATGCTCACACGGTGTTAGCTGCGAGGTTAGCCCTGCTGTTGTTGCCAACTGAAGCTTAGAGATGGACAGTGGGTATACCCGAGGCCAACAGTGGAACCCGGTTAGCTTGGTAGAGATCTGATCACTCTGCCACCAGGTTGTGTAGGAAGGCCAAGCCAGTGACAGACAGGTAAGATGTCAGTCACATGGTGTGCTTTGGGTTGACAGAAGTCCTGATCGCCCAGACAACCCTGTCTTTCCCCGCTGCCCTTTTCCAGCCGCTACTGGCGCAGGTGGAACAGGTTCTGCAGAAGGAAGTGTCGCGCGGCCGTTAAATCCGACATCTTCTACTGGCTCGTGATCTTCCTGGTGTTCCTCAACACGCTCACCATTGCCTCCGAACATTACAACCAGCCCCACTGGCTCACAGAAGTGCAAGGTGAGCAGCCCCTGGCTTTTTCATAGTCACTCTTGCTAACTCAGCTCTGAGTTCCGGGGAGGCTGACGGGAAAGCAGCCAGAGCCTGTGCTTCTTGGCTCGTGCCGTGCTGGGCCTGGAAGCTTGCAAACCCCATATTAAAATTTAGGCCCTTGTCCTAAACACATGTGGCCCTTCACACGCTTGAGGGGACTCTCACCACCACCACCCACCCCTCACACACACAGACGCACACATCATAGTCACCATTGAGTTCCAGTAGCAGGACAGGAGCTGTTGCTTATCTGGCTATTAGAGCCCCTCAGCTGCCAACTTTGCAGAAGCAATTTTCAATTCCTCTGACCTCACTATAGCTCCAGGTAGCTCTACCCAGACCATTAGAAGATAGACAAGAAGCAGACAGAGCCTGGACAAGGGACAGTATCCCCATGGCTAGCTAAGCCTCCTTGTCCCACCTTGAGCCCTCTGAAGACATCTAGGACCCATGCCTAGGCATCTCCTCTAGGGAGTGAAGTAGATATGGTTCAAGTTACGGGGCCCCTGGGAGGAGGCAGTCTAGTACTAACAAGATCCAGTGCAGGGAGCCTGGTTCCAGCTCTGACTATTCACCTGGATGGGTTACTGGCCCCTCTCTGAATCTCCTGTCCCATCTCCAAAGACTGGGTTTAATAAAAAACAATGCCAAGCCTCCCAAATTCCTGCGGGGATGAAGTAGGGCAGCATAGGCTAAACATCTAATGGGTGCTGGACACTCAGCGCATGTTTCTGAAGATGGAAATTGGACCTAATTGTTCTTTCAGGAGTAGCTGGGAGAGGTCTCTTGGGAAGGATCAGGGAGGTGGGAGAGGGGAAGGAGGGAGGGAGGGAGGAAGAGAGGAAGGGATAGGTTGTTTTTTTTTTTCTCCAGCTATGACAGTGACTGTCTTTTTATTTTTTCCTCCCCTTCCTCTTTGCTCTTCTCGGTTCCTTGCTTGAATGCCCGCTCTTCTCCTACACCCGCCAGACACAGCCAATAAGGCCCTCCTGGCCCTTTTCACTGCGGAAATGCTTCTGAAGATGTACAGCCTGGGTCTGCAGGCCTACTTTGTATCCCTCTTCAACCGCTTTGACTGTTTCATCGTGTGTGGGGGCATCCTGGAGACCATCCTGGTGGAGACCAAGATCATGTCGCCCCTGGGCATCTCTGTGCTGAGATGTGTGCGGTTGCTCAGGATCTTCAAGATCACCAGGTGTGTGGCTCCTCTTTTCCCTTTGGGCATGGGATGGGACTCAGGAGAAGCCTTCTGGGAGGCCAGAGAGGATGAGCCTGGATGAGGGAAGAGCTGCAGTTTCTGGAATGGTCTAGCCTCTGATCCTGTGCAGCATGGAGAGTCATGGTTCATTTTGGTGATGTGCTGCTCAGAAATGCCCTTGGCTATGGGCTTAACTTGGCTGCAGTCGCTTAACTTGGCTGCATTTATTCTGCTGTGTTACTAGATAGCCCAGAAGTAACCAGCCCGGTGGCTTTGAGAAAGCGTTGGGGATCCAGTCTCCTCTTACTGTTGGCTTGACCAACATTGATATTGATTTAACTGTAGGGTCTCGAGATGGCTTCTGGACAGTAAGGTATTCTAGACAAGAAGAAAGGGGCCTTAGTCAGCTTCTTTGCTCCTCCAAATCACAGGAAGACCTATGGTGAGAGATGCCATTCAAAACCAAACAGGACAGGGAAATAGCAAGTGTGCGGGAGGACATGGAAGACTGAGACCCTAGCACTCTTGGTGTGTATCCGTTACTTTTCTCAATCCTGTGACCAGATATCTGAAAAGAGCAGCTTAAAGAAGGGAGGCTTTGTTATGGCTCTGTCTTTAGAACCTTTTCATCATTCTCCAAAGAAACTGCATGTACATTTCTCTCCAACCACTGACCCCATGCTAGGCCTAGGTAGCCCACCCTCATTGTTTAGATTTGTCTATTGTGTGACAGACACCCTGAGAAAGAGATCAAGGAAACAATAGCTTATTGTGGACATGCCTTATGAAAATAATAATGGAAAGTGTCATCATTTGAGTCCAGCTTCTTTCATTTAGCTTAGTATCTTCAAGTTACATCCAGGTTTTAGCATGGATTAGAACTTCTCACCTATTCTTGGTGAATAATATTCCTTTGCATGGTTAACTCACATCATTCGAATATCAATGATGGGCCTTGATCCATGGCTACTTTATAGTGCTTTTGTGAATATTTGTGTCCAAGTTTTTCCAGAGATGTATAACTCTTTTCTTTTGGATATATATAGGAATGCAACCCCTGGGTTATTCGGTTAAACTCTTGAACATTGTGGGAAATAATAAAATTGTTTTTTAAAGAGACTAGGCCATTTTGCATTCTCACCAGAGATATACAATTTAAGGCTTCCGGTTTTACCACTACTCATACCAATTGTCCTGTGTTTTTGTGTTTGCTTGTTTGTTTGTTTGTTTGTTTGTTACACTTCTTGGTTTGTTTGGGGTCTTTTTCATATTTCTTTCTTAAATGGCAAACGGTAGCCTACATATTTATGAAGCACAGTGTAACATTCCAACATGTATATGCAACACATAATGATCAGATGATGGCAAGTAGCACACCGTCTTACTTTAAATACTTACATCTTTCTGCTGCCAACGTTCAGATCCTCTCTACTAAATACCTTGAAATGTTCAGTTCACTTGTTGGCAGCTGCTGCTCTGCTGTGCATTAGAAGCACTAGAGGTTGCTGTATTTTTCACCACTGCACTGTTATCCATCCCCCCCCACCCCCGCCACCTTCTCCACCCTGGCTCGTCTCTAACTGTCCTGTTCTTTCCGTCTTTGAGATCAGCGTTTTAGGCCCCTACCTACACGTGAACCACGGGGCACTTGTCTTCTATGCCTGACTCAGTCCAATATCCTCCGGCTCCCTCCACAAGACAGAAAGTGACAGAATTCTATTCTCTCTTATTGCGGCTATTGCTTCCAATAAAAGAAAGACAATTGGCTGGAAAAAAAAAGAAAAACATCTGAGGGCCTCCAACCCTACGATCATCATTTTGTAAAAGCCTTTGAGATACCTATCTGGTTCTCAGTGTGATACATGTTGTGTAAAGTGGGCTGTTGTCGACTCACAGAAACATCCTTAGGGCCAGCTGGAGGAAGTCTTCTGATTCTTCTCCAGATAGAAGCCCCCAGATCCCTTAGGAACCTGCGTTCTGGGTAGTCCTTGGAAACAGGAGCATTACATCCCTCACTCGGATTGTGTTAGGAAACAAGGATGGAGACTGGTGCCCCCGGGTCAAGGACAAGTATGTCACAACTCACACAGGGTGTTCCTCCGAATGAGTCACCAGGCCCTAGGAAGCATCCTTGCTAGCACTATTCTTGTTGCAACTCTCTGGGCAGCCATGTGAACGCAGAGTGTTGCTGAGACTCCAGTGAGCGGCACTTGAATTAAGTTCGGTGCTGGCGACCAGAGGCTCTTGTTTTCAATCCAGTCAGTGTCGTCACCGTCATTAGGAGAGGACAGTGAGGTCATGAGACTTCAAGTGTGGACCGGCAACTCTGGGATTGTGAAAGGCGGAGCCCTCAGGGGGCTCCCTAAGGATTTCAGCAGCTCAAGAACCACAGTCACTGCTCACAGTGAACATTTAAAAAACTTCCTCAATGTGTGGCTAGTGGGGTATTCTCCACGAGACTGGAGAAGGAGAAATAGTTTTACTTAATGGAAGGACAGCGCACAGTTGCCCCACCTCCAAGCTCAGAAGGCAGGACCACAGTGCCCACACACAGCCATATTCTGTGCATTTCACGTCTCAGGTTGCATGGGAGCAGGCTTGCAGGAAGCAGGTGTCTCCCTGGCAGTCAGCACTCTGTACAAAGAACCTGTCTTTCACCACCTCACCACCATTTGCTTGTGTACATTTGAATGTGTACACATTTCCAGATGGATTGAAGAAGTAACCTCCAGCTAGACCGTGAAATTATTCTGCTTAGGGAATTTTTGAGGCCTGAAAATTCTGTTAGCTCTTCTTGCATGGGGGTTATGGGATGCCCTGTGGTCAAGCTGAATTTTGAAAGGTTGTTTCTTGTCAATATTTTCACAGTAAGAATACACAAAATAGTTTTTAAAAAAAATCAATGGACAGTTTCCTCAAGATGTTATAACAATATCTAGCAGTGATGTTCCTTTTCTAAACACACAAAGCTTGGGGGAAGAGGGGGAAATCCCAGATCTCAAACATGGGATGGGTGAAAATTATTTAAGAGGCAGTAAAAACTTGAAAGTTAAAAAATAGTGTTCATCAGACCCAGGAAATACAGATAGAGTCAGCAACCATGTAACAAGAGGCAGGATGAAAACAATCCTTTAGGCCCTATCTCGGGACTCAAACAGCAAGATGGGCTCACTGTGGTCCAGACGATGTGCTGAGAGATGGACCTGCCTTTTGCTACCTAAGCAGTGCGACCTCGGGCTTAGCTCTCTTTACCTCGGTCATGTCATGTGTAAAACAGACCCTGGCCTCATCCTCCTTTAGTTAATCGTGAGGCTGAGCTGATCTGAGGGTTAGCGGGGACTACCCCGTCCTAACACACTGCACTCCAGCGCATGTTGGCATCTGTTATTACTAATATTTCACTGCCTTTGTTACAAACCAGAATACACCAGGAGTCTCCTGCTTCTCCTCTATAGCTGCCTCCTGCGCTCTCAAGTGTGCCATTAGGCTGACTTAGGAAGACACATTCACCCAAATCAGGACCGCATATGGCAGCGGTTCTCAACCTGTGGGTCGTGACCCTACTGGCAACCAAACAGCTCCAAAAAAATAATATATTTACATTATGATTCATAGCAAAACATCAACGAAAACAATTTGTGGTTGGGGGCGGTGGGTCACCACAGCATGAGGTCACGGCATTAAAGGGGCACGGCATCAGGAAGGTTGAGAACCACTGACATATGGTCCGCCCAAAGCCCAGCGCTGAGTGCCACCCGCAGATCCTCCAGGTTGTAGAGACCTCCAGCCTCCCTCAGGGTCCGGCTCACCCCCTCCCAAGTCTCCCAGCCTACACTCCTGCCTTCTAGAGATCTCTGCTCAGGAGCCCACTAAGGCCACCGATGAACAGGAAACCCATGTTTGTCAAGTTCCCAGGCAGGAGTCCGTGGAGAGGATTCTCAGACCCAAGAGCCATGTGCCCTCTTCTGCAAAAAAGGAGGTTACCCCCTGGGCTGGTACCCAGTCACTGTAGGAGCTTAAGGTGATGCTGTGAAAGTCACTTGGATGTGCCTCTTCTCAAACCCTGACACGTCTCTGATTTTAGGTGCAAGTTAGGTAATGCTGGGCAACTCTGGTCCAGAAGCTAAGAAGCGACCCCCTACAGTCATCCCAAGGTCAAGACCAGGAAGTCTTGGCACCTTGACCAAGTTGTATTCTCTACGCAAGATGGAGAGGACGTACGTGGGTTCTGGCAGGAAATGTGCTTTGGTCCCAAATGTCTTAGCCCCTCACCAAGACAGTCTAGAATTCCTTATGGCTCCTTCTGACCAACCACATGTCACTTTATACTCCTGTCAAACAAATACCCCCAGAAGCTGCTGCATCCTCAGGGACCAGGCTCAAGTTCACTGCAGTTCGGGTCCAAGTACACCCACTGTGGGGTCCTTGTGGCAGACCCAGGGCCAGATGCTCATTCCTTCCTGATCTGTTCTCCTATCGCAAAGCACCAATTATATACAAACTTACTGTGTGAAATTCCACCTAGAAACACTCTTCCAGCAATAACTTGCCACCAAAACCCAGGGAATAATTTCCACCCCCTTGGCATAAGAATGGTTGGGAGAGGAGGTACCTTTGGTGGAGACCCTTTCTGGAACAGAGAAATAAGATAGAATACTGCAAAGCAATTCAACAGCTAGCCCTATTGTTTCCAAGACCGTTTATTTATAGCAAGCTCCAGGATGTTCAGCACCAGGATGAAGGGAAAGGGCTGGGCCCGAGCTCTTTGAAGCAAAGATTTCTGAACTGAAACGAGATTCTACAGAGCCCCAAATGCCAAAACAGATGTACAGAGGGAAAGGAGATGCTGGCAAAGTGTCCCTGAACAGTGGGTTGTGATTCAACCCAGGAGGCCGAGGGAAAATGTAGCAATGAAGAATGGATGGTCAGTGAGAGAAAAAACTGAAGAAGGCTGGTGAGTCAGAGGGAAGAGAGGAGAGGAGGGTTTAGGTAGAAGGGAAATCGACCAGGTCACACTCACTCAAGTGTAGCGCAGTTCAAGAGCAAACAGTGAGCCGGGTGGATAAGGACAGGTAGCCACACATTGGCAAGGGTGGTGCAGCAGAAGAAACACGGATGCCCAGTGATGGGTCAAAGGGCCTGGTGGTCCCCGCTGTGCTGAATGGGGACCACTGTTCTGACCACAGATGTTTAGGTCTCCCAGGTTTTCCATGAGGTCTGCAGCTGGAGACCTTAGCATTTGTTCTCCAAAGTTCTCTTTCTTGGTGTGTGAGTCTATAGTTGCTGGGTTTGATCCAGTTAGGGTAACAGTTTCTATGTCATTAAACCTTCTGGCTTGCCACCAGCCAGCTTCCTGAAAAGGTCAGTGGTTCTGGAGACGGGCTCTCGTTCTGTGTTAGGCAGTAAGAGCCTTGAGACCGAGAGAGTTTGCAGGCCTGAGAGCAGCCACCCTGCTGTGGCATGCTGGGCTCACCTCACAACCACACTAGTGTTCTTTTTTTAAAAAAAAAAAAAATCACATTTTAATACAATATTTTATTAGTTCTTTGAGAACTTCTTACATGTATCAAATGTGTTTGGATCATAATCACATCCCACTCCTTCCTCTAACTCCTCCCAGATCCACTTCCCAACTCCTTCCCACTCCCAACTACGTGTCCTTCCACCCTAACCTCTGCTCCCATCTCACAACATGGGCACATAAACAAACACACACCTGTGAGGATCACTACCTGTCCCTCGGGCACGTATAAATGTGTTAGATTTATAGTAAAGTCCATTCCTTCAACAAAACACTCATCGATCACCTTCTGTGGACCAAGCAAAGTTAAGAGAATAAGGGAACCAAACGGCACATGTGACTCCGCTTCCCTGTGGACCTCAGTTCTGATATGAGAAAAAAGAAACGCTAAGCAAAGAAATAGATGTTTGCCTGGTGGTGATATTTCTTTTTAAAACAGAATGGTTCATCAAGTACTTGCTGTGCAAGCCTGACCACATGAATTCAACCCCCAGAACCCCTTGTAGAGGTAGGGTAGGTTGACTCCAGATGTTGTCCTCTGACATCCACATGTGTTCTGTGGTATACCTCTCTCTCTCTCTCTCTCTCTTTCTCACACACACACACAGACACACACACACACACACAGACACACACACACACACACACCACATCACACCACCCAATAAGAATAAATTCTAAGAGATAATGTAGAACAAGCTGCTAAAGTAGAGGTCAGGGAAGTTGCCCTGAGATCACAGGCAAAGGATCTAAAGGCGGGACCCTATGTCAAATTCAGAGAGAGAGCTGGGTAGGCCACTGGTGGAAACAAGGGCCTGTGCGGCAGAGCGTCTGCAAGTGGGAGGCTGGAGTGGACGAGGGAGGGAGAGCATAGGAACCAGGCCAGAGGTCATGGGGTTCCGGCTTTCCCACCAGGCAGTAGCATGGTGGGGGTTGCATGTGGCTCCCACTCTAAGAGGGCTCTTGCTGCTCTCATGTGGAGAATTGCCAGGGAGCCCAAGTCAAGGCAGAGCAAGTAGGTAGGAGGTAGCGAGAGAGCCTGCTGGCTAGGCCTAGGTGATGGAGGCAGTGGGAAGTGGCCTACGTCCAGATTTGTTTTGAAGATAGAGGCCTGGGATTTGCTACTGCGGGGTAAGGCACAGGTTGATCCTGCTGTTCTTATTTCCTGACATGGGAATGAGGGGAGGCAGAAAACCTCACAACTCAAGATGTGGTATGCTTTCCTCACTACCTGAAGCTCAGATTTCCCAAGATGGCTTCTGGGGTCAGAGCTGCAAGGTGGAGTGGGGAATACAGAAAAGGTTTTTGCTTTAACTAGTACTACTCCTTGGCCAGCCCCTTCCTCTCCACCTGGCTCTCAGCGGAGCTAAGCTTTGCCTCAGGTTTCAACCCTTTACCGTAGACTCTACTTCTCTAGAACTTCAGGCCTCAGGAGACCCTGGGTCAGGAAACATTCTCTATCCTGCTGTGTTTCTCCTGCTCTTCACCTGGTCTCTGTAGTGACTTGATTCTCTAAAGTCTGGAGCTTCCGTGGCTGACTCCCCTGAATGTCCCCGTGGTTTCCAGATACAGCTGAACCGCAGCTCAAGCCCGGTATGCTATTTCCCTCACTGCTGTGTACTTCACGGAGAGTAAAATCCGACTTCCCATGACAGTCAGACTCGGTCTACACACAGACACTCTCCTCCTTTTGTAACTGGAACATGCGAGATGCTCTAAAGTTGCTGGTTTCTAGATGCCGGTTTGTTGGCCAACTCCACATTGGCTGCTTGTGAATGGCCCAAGCCCCAGTGTCAGAGAGTGTGACCTCATGGTTCCTGCGGGACCTGAGAAGAAGCATTTAGGACATGGTGAACTGGGCATCCTTTGATCTCCAGCAGGTTTGGAGAAGCAGTTTGAAGTGTAGTCGGGAAAGGTCTTCCAAGCCCAAGTCTTTCTTAACTTCTTGCCTGAAGTAGGTCAACACCAGCTCTGGCCTATAGGAAGTCCAGGGGGGCTATCGCACATCAGGGGTGTTCAGAGCAACCCAATCAGCTTAGAAGGGCCGACCCCAAGGTACTGCAAGACTGAGAAAAGTGAGGGAAATGTTAGGGCTACAAACAGCTCAGTTTTGGGGGTGATTTGCTGGTGGGGGAATGGTCCGGAGGGGCAGTCAAGTCAATTGGATCCTGTAATTTGATTCAGAAAAAGGAATGAGTTTATGGGTTAGGATGAAAGTTTCTTCATCCTTGCCACAGCAGAACTGGGATCTTAAGACAGTATGGAAGAGTGGGGTGTATCCTCAGAGCCAGAGACTGACTGTAGTGCCCTGCATGCCTATCATGGTTTTATTTCTGTAGTTTACTGCTAAATTATGAAAAAGAAAAAGCAAAGATTACTTTATGGTAATTGCCATGGATAAAACTCAAAATGCCCACGGTCATGTGAAGTTGAAATCAATAATCTGGGTTGTGGGTAGGGAGCCCTGCTACCAGCAGGTGTAACATTGGTGGGCTCTTGAAGAGGTCCTTACACCCTGTGATCACAGAACTAAAAACCATAAACCTAGTTTACAGTTCCTCTAGAGGACTTTTGCCTGGAGCTGTCCCCCAATAGACTGATGGGTTAGTTGTAATCCAAAATTATCAGAATCCTGTAGGTTCTTATCAAAACTAAATATATCTGGGCCCAGGTGCTGGGTCAGAATTTCCAGAGGAATGACTTTTAAAAACCAAGCATCCTGCCAGGGAAGCTGGGGCCATCGGTAAGCTCTGCCTACTCTCTTTGCTCTACCTCCCCAGTTAGCTGCTGCTGGCATTTTTGGAGAGGGGAATTTGTTTTCTCTGTTAAAAACCAGAAGTGTTCATGGTAATTATAAACTTAAATTAGCTGTGTGCCAGACAGCTTACTGGGCACTGCTTTAAGGAGAGGGAGGGTATGATCTTCCAGGCTTCCTTAATGATGTGCACACTCCTGTTATCTCCATTTTTTTTCCAGACAGGAAGGCAGGAAATGGGGGAGCTAAATAACTTATCCAAGGGCAACGGCAGCTGGCAGAGAGGCTGGGAACGTCTAGCTCCCGAGCCCTCTCTCTTTATTGTTGCCTCTTACTGGTGCTAAACTTACAGCTCCACACCCAAACTGTGAGTCCAGTCCACACCACTCCCCAAACCCAGAAATGGGAGCTAGCAGGGACCGGAGCTGTGTGTGTTGAACTAGGAGGGGGCACGCAGGTGAGGGCTGATGGAGGGCAACAGAGGAGAGGCGGCTGAACTCCCTGTTCATCCCCAGGTACTGGAACTCCTTGAGCAACCTGGTGGCCTCCCTGCTGAACTCAGTGCGCTCCATCGCCTCCCTGCTGCTGCTCCTCTTCCTCTTCATCATCATCTTCTCCCTCCTGGGCATGCAGCTGTTTGGAGGGAAGTTCAACTTCGATGAAATGCAGACACGAAGGAGCACGTTCGATAACTTCCCGCAGTCTCTCCTCACTGTGTTTCAGGTAGGGGCTGCTGCCGTTCTCGCCGGGAGGGTCGTTCAGTAGTGAGGTTGGAGGTGGGCAAGAAGAAGCCTGGGAGAGGTGGGGTGGGGAGAGCAGTACCCCTTTACCGGGCATGATGGCAGCCTAGATCAGCCCGGGAAGGTCTTTCTTTCTATTGTTTCTTGTCTCTCGGACCTTCCATGGAGCTGCACAGGTGGATAGAATAATGACAAAACAAATTGATCAGTTTAAAAATGTTTGTGTGGCCATGGCATCCATTAGCCAAAACAAAACAAAAAACCCGGTTGAGATGTGGAGGACCTATGTTTAATTGCTAGCATCCTTGCTGCTGGAAGAATTACAGAACTCTACTTTCATGGATGTTTTGGCATAGGACAGAGCTGGAATAGCATGTCTTTGAGATTAAAAGTAGAGTTATTCATAGATGAAAGGGAACAATGCGTGCACACGGCTAAGATCTTAATGGTGGTGCCAAAGTATTTTGTTCAATAGACGTGGGTATAGCCTATCACTGTCTTCCTGATCATAGTCACCTGATACAGCCACCCAGGGAATGAATGGTGGCTCTCTCTTATACTGTATGTGAAGAGCAATAAAATGTGTTGACCACAAGGCCTTTTTATTTGCTGGTGGCCATGCATTTTGTCTGGGGTTAGGAGTGAACTTGCCCAAGCCTATAGTTCCTATGAATAATCGGGAGCCAGAACAAGGAAGAAAAGTAGAGATGAGATTTGGGACATTTCTGTTAACACAGTGGGGCAGGGCAGGGCAGGGGAGTTTGGGGGTTTGCTGTTGGTCTAACGCTGTGTCCCTTATTGGTGGGAATGTGTCATTCAGATCCTGACCGGGGAGGACTGGAATTCGGTGATGTATGATGGGATCATGGCTTATGGCGGCCCCTCTTTTCCAGGGATGTTAGTCTGTATTTACTTCATCATCCTCTTCATCTGTGGAAATTGTATCCTTTGCTGCTGATGCTGCCCCACCCCTGCTGCCCCACTCGGCCTTTAGCACAGTGCCATGTGTGTGCTACAAGGCCCTGGCTGGGGACCTGTGCTGTGACTTCCCATCCACAGGCTAGCTGGGCAAGACCGCTCTTGGAAGGAAGTGTGGCCTGGCCTAGAACCAGTCCAGCCACGGTGTGGGTCTGGGTGAAGGCTGTGCTTGGGCACAGGAGACAGTACTGCACATCCCTGAACTGGGTCACCCCTTTCTAGGAGGTGTGCTCTGGTCATAGTCTAGGTGAATGAGGCCCCCAAGCATTGTGGTCTACGCAACCAAACTTACACAGACTAGGATGCAATATGTCTGGAGGTGCATATCTTGGCCACTCTGGAGCTATGGTACCTACTCAGATCTCCAACCTGTGCCTTGACCAGTTTCCTCTCTTTGAAGTTCTTTGTGGGGCTAAAGTCATAGGCAGAGCTGCACAAGTTCCCAAGTGGACCCCAAGGACTCAAGCCTTAGGCTTTTCTTCTCTCCCACTGGTTGAGCCTGTGAATGTGGAATCCAGAGTGGGGTCATAAAAGAGAAAAATGTCTAGCCCAAAACTTGAGTGAAGTTCCTAACACTCTGCCACCTGCAGACAAAATTGGCATTCTGTCATCTGGGTAACCTCTGGCACATCAAAGGCCTTCTTCCTCAGGTGGCTACAGTGTAAGACAGGCTGGAGCATCCCTATCCAATAATGAAATATCTGGACCCTTTTAAGTGGCTATGGGTTGTGTTAGGTAGAAAACCACATGAGGATATCATGTACAAAGTTATTAAAGGTTTGTATAAAGTTGATGTCAAAGTATGTATAAAAGATGTATATGAAACAAATGTATTTTGGGCCCTATCCCCAAGATAAATCCTGCCATGCATATACCAAAATTTGTAAAATACATTGAAATCCAGAATACTTCTTGCTCTGAGCATTCTGATAAGAGATTCTGGGCTTGCCATATAAAAATAGGAAGTCCTGCTTAAAGGGTGTGTGTGAGTTGGCTGTTACAATACAGACAAGGCCCCTCCTATGTTCCAGGCTTTTGTTGGAGTTTTAGTTGTGTGTAGGAAGTGATAGGAATTTATGAGTGCCCAGGACTGGGTATGGGGTTTCCACCTATGTTTTCTTGGTTCTGTGGTTTTCTGGACCATAGTGTTTCTGCTGGTGGAAAAGCAGGGCATGGCAGCATGGAAGAGACAGGCAGATGACTGGTTCAGTAGAGAAGTCTCAGGTCTGACCCTCTAAGGGTGTTTGTATATAGAGGCTGACAGAGATTCCAAGCCGTCTCTTTGGTGCCCTGTTACAATGACTGGGTCTGAAGAGCAATTTGCTAGGCATGGTGCTGCCTATCCTGTCGGTCAGAGCCAGACATTTCAGTGGTCAAATCAATAATGAAATCTAGCAATGAAAGAGCAAGGTGGGGCCTGATGCTTCAGACCTGCCCTGCTCTTGTCTGCAAGGCCAGCCTGGTCTCAACCGCTTAGAAACTCTAAACAGGAAGCAGAATGATGGGAAATGGGGAGAAGGTACATGGCTGGCCTCCTAACCCCTCAAAGAGGACCTCTCCTGGGGAACCCTTACCTCTGCATGCTTATACTATCCCTGTTCCCAGTGGCCATTATGCTTCCCAAAACCAAGGGTCGTTTTCTTTAAGAATGGACACAAACAGATATCCTACTGAATGTGTTCTTGGCCATTGCGGTGGACAACCTGGCTGACGCTGAGAGCCTGACCTCTGCCCAAAAGGAAGAAGAAGAAGAGAAGGAGAGAAAGAAGCTAGCCAGGTAACCCTCTAAGCTTAGAAGGCCATGCCCCCCGGGGGGAGAAAGGGCTGGTGCTCAGCTAGTGGACATCCTGGCTAACATGGACAGGAGTGAGACTTCTACAGTAATTTGGCGTCTGCAGCTCCTAGTTATCACTATATAGTCTCTGCAAAGATGTGGCATTTCCCCCACCAGTGCAGGAAATGAGGACCCATCCTTTGGGGAAAGAAACCATGGGAACACACACAGGAGGAGGGGTGGCGAGGAAGCCACCTTCAGAAGAAAACCCACCTCCAGCTCAGAAAACAATGTTTTCTCACTACTTTTGTACCATTAAGATGGTAGGGAGACAACGTAAGGTTCTACATTCCATCCCATAATTATCTAGCTAGGACTGCCATATGCTGTGCTTCTGTTGAACACCGAGAAGAGGTCCTCTAGAAACCAATCCTAGGTGAGACCCAGAATCCTCTGATTTAAAAGAAGGAGCAGCTAAGGATCTGAAAGAGGTCAGATGTGTGCCAGAGAGAGCCGGAGAGCCTCAGTCCTGTGGAGGAGCGGAGCTGCAAGTGGGATGCGTCCCAGAGAAAAGACAATCTGTGGAGACACAGGGCTGATATTGCTGCCCACCCTCCACCCCCTCCCCCGAAGACCACAAAGCAGTTCTGGTCTACACTGTCCACTATCATTCCAGTAAACATCCATTTCTGGGTTTTTTTCCTGCTGACCGGCCAGGACTGCCAGCCCAGAAAAGAAACAGGAGGTGATGGAGAAGCCAGCCGTGGAGGAGACCAAAGAGGAGAAAATTGAGCTGAAGTCAATTACTGCAGACGGAGAGTCGCCGCCCACTACCAAGGTGAGGGGCTTCTTTAGGTGTTCAGAGGCCATCGCTAAGGGGGTGGGGCACATTGTCTTCCTGTTCTTTACCTGAAGGAAGTGGAAACAAGGAACAGGTAAGGGGAGAAGAGAGTGACAGATGGAATTGGGAGCGAAGAAAATATCTGCCTTTTCTGTTATTCTGAGGGGAGCTACAAGGCCTAGGGGCAAAGATGCATTTTTTTTTTAAGCTCAGCCTCAGACTACGATATAATTCTAAGGCTCCTCTGAGCCCAAGAACCCTGGCATACATCTAACTGAATTCTTCTTCCTTCTTTTGGTTGCCTAGATCAACATGGATGACCTCCAGCCCAGTGAAAATGAGGATAAGAGTCCCCATTCCAACCCAGACACTGCAGGTACCATTGCACTACCTGACCCTAAGACTGAAAGGCTGTCGGAACAGACTCAGCTATAGGGGAGGAGCCAAGCACTGGGGACCCTGGGACTAGTTTCCTCCAA